GTTATCGTATAAATATTTTCCGAAAGGATTTTAAAAAATTTATGGCTTACACACGTTAGAGTTAAATTTTGTTGACAAAGTATATTCAAATCGGAAATCACGATACATCAATTGATACATAGTACGTATTGTAGTCCTTTACCCTTATATTTTATTATCTATTCTCGAGTTTGGCTCGAGCATAGAGAAGTTACCCTAGCAAATAGGCAATATCACATACAAATAATGTAGAAGCAGGGGGGAGATTGAACGAGTAATAAATGGAAGTGAAAAATCGAAGACAAACTTCGTACGAACTATGTGGATTATTGAAGATTTCTCTTTTACTTCTACTCTCTGCCTCTTTTTCGCTTTTTATCAGTGTCCTTATATTTTAATCGAACTTTCTTTCTTATCCTATCGGTCTGTCTTTGCTTATCTTATACTTGAATGAAGCACTCTCACACTAACACATTTTACTTATTTTTAATGTTTAAGGAACTACGTTAATGCATGATCTTTTCAAACTTATGTTCATTCTCATTTTAGTTATTGCATTTTGATTAGTTATCGCATTATGATTGAAGGTGCATTAAGTTGATTTAATATCTTTTAGCTTAAGACTACATCAAATAAAGCGTTTCATATATTTTGAATTAAATGGAAAATTGCATTTCGTTATGTAAACATTTGTATAATAATTAACGGGATTTACTATTCGAATTAAAGATAAATTTATTTTGCCACTGAAAAGATTTTACGACTGTTTTTAATTTTTTTTTAAAGTAATTAAATGTAGTAATCGTTAAAGATAAATACATCATTTATTATGTTTATTCATGGATGAAAGATATAAAAATGTTATTCTCTGCACATTTATAATAATAAATATCATAATAGGATAAGATAAGTATTTATTGACGAATATTATGATGATATTTCGTACGACTTAAAATTAATATGATGTTTAACTCGATTCCCTGCTTATTATTTATTATGTAATAACATGTAAATGTAATTTTAATTCAAAATAAATGCATGAAATGAATCGAATTATTTTATTGATTATGTTAAATTAAATGTATATATATACATATATAGAAATTACAACGTTAAGATTATGTTTAAAAAGTGATTTCCTAATAAGTTACATTTTCATATAGATCTACTCAAATATTTGCTCGCCCATTTAATATTTTAGCTTATTCATCCCTATCCTTGCCATAGAATGTACATTTCATAAAGCAAGCTTTAACCGGCTCACTTAAAGCAAGAGATTCCAATCGCACTTAATAATGGGTGTTGTTCTTGCGTTACAAGCTCCACTTACCGCCTCTACGTGCGAATACTTTGATAGAAGTGAGCAAGAAAATAGAGGCAACTTAAATCGCAGGCCGCATCATATCTGAACGAAATTGCAAATATAGAAATTCGTGGTCGGCTACGCAGAGGAAAAACAAAAGTTCGACGGCTCGTCTTTGGTGTCAGGCGTCTAGCCTACTCCAGGGCCTCGACAAGTCGGCCAGGGCAGCCCTCACCCCTTCGCTCGGCTCCCGGAGCTCTGGCACGAGTGGAACTATACAGCGCGCGTGTGCGCGCCTACGTGCGCGGCTGAAAGATAAGGAGGATGAGATGGGCGCTATAACTTGGCGTATGTAGCGCTCTGGTGTAGCGGTGGCGGCATCCTGAAGGGTCTGAGTTGGCAATAGTGGAGTGCATCCACTCGTGGCGACACTCTCGAGCGGCCTCATTGTCTCTCGAGAGCAGCTATGGTGCGCGGGCGTCCCCCTCCCCTTTTTTTTACCTCTTTTCTCACTCTTGCTCACTCCCTTACTCTCTCTCTCTCTCTCTCTCTCTCTCTCTCTCTCTTTCTCTCGTTTACTCGCTCGTCATCTTGAAAAGGATGAAGCGAGAGTCATTGCGAAAGACTCAAAGGGGATGAAGCGAAGGAAGAAGTAAAAGACGCAGAACACGAAATAAGAAGAAAGAGGCGCAGCGGTTGAGGCGGATCCCGCGTGTCCGCAGTAGCACAAGCCTGAGCTAGTCAGACCCGCCATTAATAAGCTTATGCAGCATACTCGTTTACTAGCTAAATCTCTCTCTCTCTCTCTCCCTCTCGACCCTCTCTTCATCACTTTTTTTCTACCATGCTCTCTCTGGCGCCTATACGATTCAACATCGGCAGAGTCAGACGCGGTGATACTTACCGCGTACATTCACCAATACATACGTGTCACGCGTGATCTTTTTACCATATCCCGTAGCTCCTCGAAAATACCTCCTGCATAGATCGAATCGGGCTCGCTGCGTTCCAGAAAGTAAGTAGAGAAAGATTCTCGATTTCGCCTCGCTCGCGTTTCTTCCCTCTATTCGTGGCATCGGGATTTAGTACATGCCCGGCGGACTTCAACGTTCAAGGACTTCGGGCGTGTAAAGGTCTGTGCGCCGCCCAATCCCTAAGTGGACCTTTTTCTTCTTTGTGTATTTGATATATTTCTCTATTTCGCGCTCCTTGAATTCATCGTCAAATACATTTAGATGAAAATGTCTTTTCTCATATATAAATCAGAGAGTTATCTCATCTTGCCTAGATTTTTGTAAAATTCGAGGACCATCCAGTGAATTTCGGAAAAGTTTTTGGTTTGTTAATGAAATTATTACTTTATTTTTATAAATAAGAGATTTAATAATTGATTTATCACATTCAGATCTGTCTATATGTCAATAGTATCGATATTTTATGAAAGTCTATATATATTCTTTAAATAACAAAATGACTTCTTCGTTGGAAAAAAATGTTATAAAATAATTGTTTCTAACAGAATGTTCGTTCTCAATTTAGTTATATGGATTACATCTTGATAACACGCAGTAACACTTTAGCATTTAATATTAGTCAATTTTCAGATTGATTACGTCCAAGAGTTTTTATATCTGAAATGAAATGAAAATATTTGTGTGAGAATAAATTGACGTAGACGAATCATTGACAACTTAAGTGGTAGTGAAAATCAGTCGTGCTCATCTCAGCTCAGCGTGTAACTTACATTGGAGCAAAGTTCAAAGTAACGTTCAAGAAAGCCAGTGGTTGTACAGCTTAGCCCTTCGCCCCCGGCATTTATCGGCAAGCGGTAAAGAAAAAGACAGAGCTTGATCAGGCACGTTGCGAGACAATGCCGAGCAAATTCCTTTGGCGCGACGTACCCACGGGAGAAGGGCTGATCTCGTCTTCTTCGATGCTTTTGTGGGCGCGTTTTCGTAGTTGCTGGCTAGACACTTCCTTTCATAGGGTCACGAGGGCTCGCAACGCAGGTGTACGACCAGCAGGTCGAAAACGTAAGGGCCGCTTAAAATAATGATAATGGCCGCGATATATGATCAACCAATTGCCTGCGATCGCTCACCAGTCAATATCCAAGTGTCGACGAAGCCGTATTTTTAATCAAGACAATCCATAATAAATATAATTATTAATACATCTGACATAAATTGATAATGGACATTCCTAATTCTTCATTATGCTCCATTCAATTGATTTGAATTTTTATTAAACTTCAGATGAAAATTATATGATGAACTGGCATTTATTAACACCCTTCTATGTTATTTTCTTGATAAATATTCTAAGATATTCTGCCGAAATTTAATTATTTAGACTAATATATTTTAGTTTATTACTTCACTCATGGTTAATTAGAATAATATTTTTAGTGTTTGGTAATAATATAAAATAATAAACTTCTTTTACATTTAATGTAATTTTTCACACACACACACACACACACACACGCACGCACGCACTCACACACACACATATATATAACTATTATGTTTTTATATATTTAAAAAAGTATTAATTGAAATTAACTTTCTATTGAAAATGTAAAAGTGATAAGTTAATAATCATTTATTTTTTAAATTATAATATAAAATTTACGCAATTTTTTAGTATTTAATAATTAAATATTTACCTTAATTTTCATTATTTAAAGCCATAGAAGATGAAACAAAATATTTTTAGTGAGATCATGCCCTTTTCGAATGATTTTAAATGTAGTTAATGTAGAAACTATGTAGAATATTATGAAAAAAAAAGTTTAAAAAGAGCGTTGAAAAAGTAGGAGAATGAAATATCAATTATAATTATAGAACGTTCAGCTAAAGGACGTGTAATAAATAGCCTTTATCCATTATTATAAAAATAATTGAATTGCATAAAATATAATGTGTAGGGTATAGATAGTATAAAATACGAAAGTGCATACATGATAATTTAATGTTAAAAATGAAAAGTAAAATGCCTGTCGCATCGATCACGATTGAAATGATAGAATTATATTAAATTATAGCGCTATTAGTTTGAAATAAGTAACGCATCTAGTTATTACAATCATGAATATATTACAGGTATTTATATATTTCATAAAGAATAGAAGAATAGAATAGAGGACCATTGATTTTTAAGTTTTTCCAGAAGGATATTTAAATATACTTACTAATTGGTCATTTAATATAATTGACTTTAGCATAGCGAAGTAATTATTTAGTGTTATTTCATTCAAAGGAATGTCAAAAGTAAAAGCACAACAGAAGTTAGTTTATATAAAAAATTTATTAATTTGATAAATAATTGTGAGAAACATAAGATTATTTTAATAGTTTTATATAAAATGTTTCTTATCTTCACAATAATGACAGTTCTGAATTTCATTTAAAAACACAGGTTATATAACAGAAAACAAAAATATATAAAAATATTATGCGATATAAATGTACGTATCCTATAATAATAAAAACACTTATATTATAAATGTTTAGTTAGTATAGGTCGAAAAATAATAATAACGATAACTTAAAACCTATTTCATTAAATTTCAATATTTTACATTATATTTTTTATTTCCATTATTTAATTAACATCGCACCCTTGATGCATTCTCAATGTATTAATAACATATATATACATTATTTTTCAAAATAAAAGTATTTTATACTGTAAATATTTTAAAATTCACGTAGAATAAATAATCGTATTTTTTATAAACATATATTATCTAAAACTTTAAATTAATCAACTAATTGCACAACGATCATTGGAAATAGTTTCAGATATGGCGAAGTATTTCGCACTTTACTGATGTCTATATCAGTTTGACCCAAATACATTTTTAAAACAGTATTGTTTTTTCGTTTTTTAGTAGATATTACGGCTGCTTCGAGTAATTCATTGGAAATATTTTTACAATTACTCAGATTCAAATATTCAATATTTTCGGAAAGTTCGATAAGCGTTGCAAGCCCAGTATTTCTTACATTTGAACAATAGCTGCAATCCATGTGTATTAAGTTTGGCATACGAGTGAAAACTTCATCCGATATGTTGTTCAAGTATTCAATCAATAAAGACTTAAGTAATGGAAGTGACACAATATGTGACAAACCCATATTCGTTACTGCATTACAATCTAAAACAAAGTACTTTTTCTATAATTTCAACACTCAGCCATTCAACTTGTGAACTTAAGAAAACTACTAGTCGATCAGTTTTCCATAATTTATTTACAAGACGTTATTAAATTTTCATTTATGATTTTTCACGCATTCATTATTCTTGAGCATTATTTTTATTTGATATTCCTTTTAGTGATTTGAACAGAAAATGTTTACCTTTTGTTTTTATTTTCATATTATATTATCAATTATACAGTTTATACAAATTACTAGCTTTATTAATAATATTTTGTATATGTTTAAATATTATGCAAAAGTTATAAAATCACTAATATTTATAAATATTGATACGAAGTACTTACCGCTAAGGTCAACGGTTTTTAAAAGCTTACAATTGGCGCCGATCATTATTAATACGTCGTCATCAACCGAATCATTACAAGAAAGATCCAAACACTCGAGACTTGTTAAATTTGCTATTTTATCTAATGAAGTAGTATAAAGTGGACACGAAGATAATGTTAAGATCCTTAATTTTTCAGAACATGATCCAATATTATCCATGGTATTATTATTATTAAAAAAACTATATGAATCATGAAAATGATCCATTACTAGAACCTTGAGGTTTTGAAAGTTTTTAACTACCTGTTGATTGTAAAAGTTTTTATTGATGAAAATCGATCGTATTTATGTTTGGTGTTTCATAATAAGTAGTGAAATTCCTGATGAAATTTAACTAAATAAATATAATTATATAAATTATATATATACTTGAAATTCTATAAAATTCTATAAATTACTTCTATAATCAGATAAATTTTAAATATGCAAAAGAATTCTTACGTTGAAATGACGTAGTAATATGGATGGGCAATCAAAGAAAATAATTGTTTCAATCGATTCACTATTCAATTTTGACAAACATTTTCCAGTTATTTTATTATTCCAATACACGTTTAGTTGATTAAGATCTGCATTTCTTTTAAATAATGCTGACAGCTCTTTGTCGCACTTATCCGTACAATTTCCAATAGAAAATAATCTAATCTTGCAACAGCTATTGGCTAGATTTTTTATGCTCCACGGCGAAACCGTTAGGTCAGAAGCATAAAGATATTGTAAATTTGGGCAGAATCTTGCAACTATATTCAATACATTTGGGCCCAATCTACTATTATAATCATAAAACTCAATACTAATAAGGAACTGACCGCACCGGTTCAATACCTTCTTAAATATTCGATAATTAATTTTCTCTATAAAGCTAGATTTTTTGAATCCCCAAAGTTCATTATCAAAATTTAAGTCTTTTATATCGTACCACGATGTTCGGCTAATTATTTGCCATCTTTTACATACTGACATGAAACATTTTCAGAATGAAAAGTCTGTTATTTTATTATTGAATTATATTATATATATTGTTACATTAGAAATATTTTTCATTCAGAATTAAATACCTCTCTCTATCCTTATTCTGTCCACAATGGATAGGTATTGGAAAATAGATCTTATACAATCATTATTTAATTTGTGAATTCCTTCACTATTCTTGGAAAATGTTTCATTATCTACATTCGAGAATTCATGAATATTTCTGTGTTGCAGATTCATCTTGATGCTGTAAAAAGAAGTAAAATAAGCTAAAATTATGATATTATTAATATTAGTATTAATATCAAATATTGTTGATCGAGGCTTAAAGTAAATTATAAAAAGTATAATTTATATCTTTTAAATTTATAATGAAATATAAAATTATATATAAAATAATTTTAATGAATTTATAATGAGCTATAATGAATGAATTTGAATATTTAAATAATTCGAAATTATTTCTTAGATTTAATTCCAATCACATTTTATATCTATATTATGTTTTCTCAACTTTCAATTTTATCTCAAACTATAAACATCTATTAAATTATATTTTTATAGTAGTATTTTGAAGCATTACTTAGAAGACTTTGTTGGTTGTAAATTATAAAGATTTAAAGTTTGAAATTAAAGTATAAAAATGAAAGTTTCTTTTGTAAAAATATACGTTGATCTTCAAATTACATTTAAAATTGAAAGAAGTGTTCTGTATTTTGAAAAAAGTGTTCGGTTATTGGTTTACACAAAATAGTCATTGCATCAAAATGTATAAATAGATTTAAAAAATCTTTAGTCATAATTTATTCATATGAAATAAATATAATTTTTTATCGTTGTAAACTTTATCGCTGAAACATTTTCGATTGATATTTTGTTTTTTTTTTTTGTTGTTGAAACAAGTTACCGTAACAGCGAGTACCGTATTAGCGACTTCAAATGTTGTTTATATATTTTTCTGAAAATCACTTATAACAAAGTAATGAAAATAATTATTATTTAAAAATCTATTTAATTCAATAGTAATTTTAGGTATAACTATAGTTGTAAAGCCATTAAATACTATTGTAAAAAATAAGAAACAGAATATAGACTTTTACATCTTTTAGTTTGGTATATTTTTATGTATTCAATAAATCAAAATTATATCTTTTAGTTTGGTATATTTTTATGTATTCAATAAATCAAAATGCATTTGGAATTATATAAATTATTGGCCATTAAATACTATTGTAAAAAATAAGAAACAGAATATAGACTTTTACATCTTTTAGTTTGGTATATTTTTATGTATTCAATAAATCAAAATTATTTATTTAATAATAGATAATAAACAACCATGTATTAAGAATGGCATATTACGTTTATTTTATCATTTGAAGCTTAATACTTTATTTACTAATTATACTTTATTGAAACTTGTCAATTTTTTATATTTTTTAGTTCTTTTTTTCTAAAGTGTATATCACATATTGATTTTTAAATTTGCCAATAATATACAAATAAAATTTACTATATTTTAATTACATTTTTCTTAAATTATACGCGTAAAGATAAATAAAAGTACATATTCATTATTATCTTCAAATGTTCGATTTTAAAGGTTGAATTTATGGCTCGAACTATCAATTCAATAGTTCAGTGGATTAGTCTCTCGGCAGGATAACTTCAAAGGAAATAATAAGTGATAAGGCTAAAAAATATCGTGTATTTAGTAAAACAATGTTTATTATTTGTTAAGTATTATAATAATGTTGCACTATTGTTGAGAGAGAGAGAGAGAGAGAGAGAGAGAGAGA